GATCTTGCACCCAAGTCAATGCCAATGGCGGTCTTCTTGGCCATGATGAATTGAGATCCAAACAAGTGGAATTGAAATACTCTTGCTCAGTAGCTTGAGCCAAAACTCCTAGAAAGTGGCTTTGCCTCAATATTTCAGGGAGCCTTACGCATTCTTTGGGTTGCAACACATCTTCTGCGCTGAACCGAACTCCTTGGTCCTGTAAGTCACCCACTTGTAGCTGTGGAATGCTTCCCTGAAGGACAAAGCCGGACAAGCGCCCCCAATGGACTGGCCTGACAAAAGCAACTCGAATCGCCCAACGCACTTCTGTCCGACGTGTTCGGTGAAAACATGTTATACCATCTCATTCAGCTTGGCAGGACAGTTAATCGCTGAACAAAAGCTGCACGGCTTTTGTTCGCTCCGCCTCGCAACACCGTCCAGAAGGATGAAGGTTCGGAGAAGCCAAAAACTGTCGTCCCTTCCTTGTAGCAAGTCAGGACAGTCCACCTTGCAAGCAAAGCGACCAAGCAATTCATTAAGTAACTCGCTCCGCAGCTGAGGTGTCTGCATAAGCTGGGAAAGAGTAGGGTGCCAAGGGTTCCAGCAAGCTTCCTCCGCCAATTGTTGCAGGAATCTCCAAGTCAAGCCTGGCCATGATTGATGAGGCCAACTTGGGTGTCAAGTGATGGATCCAACTGCCCTACCTACCTTTCAAAGTCGACTGGCAAGCTTGCAAGGTGGCCTTGGCCCATGGAGATTCACCAGGGTACCTGAGACAATCGGACAGTGCAGATCTTGGACAATCCAACTCAAAGAGTTTCTGCTTGGTTTCGAAAGATCCAACTGTGATCTCATTTAGGGTGCGGTCCCAACAGTGTCTCGCCTGCAGGAAGAGCATGGGCCGCAATGTTGCCATTGCCCTGCAAGGCCTGGCGCAACAGTGGTTTTTCCACCAGACACTGCAGAGGAAGGTGTCCGACAGTTGAGAGTCAAGAGAGCTAAACAACAAAGATCTGTTGATGGCAACTGTCCACCCGGTAGGTCTCTTTCGGACATCCTACTCCTCTGCTGCTGTTCTGTCATGTTCTGTTTTAAGCAACGGCCTGGCTTTCAGGTAGACCAGATTTACTCCACGCTCGCATGTAGGTGAGGCGTGCCACCTGAAGGGTGTGACTTGGAAAGGTGAGAAAAGTCATCGAGACACGGTGGTGAGCCAAAAAAGAAGCTTGCGTGCGTGTCTGTGTGTGTGTGTGTTTTGCGCAAAGGGACACAACCCTATACAAACCAAGCAAGAAACTTGCATATTTGATTTACCCTCACCTAGCTTTCAAACACTTCCAAGACCATCTATTCAGATGTTCTATCATATTCTGATGTCTAAGGCCAACACAATCACACCCACTTTACCTGGTCATGTTCACCCACTTTCGACGTGAGGTCGCCCTTCTGAGCACACCGGCCGAAGTGCTCCACTCCAAGGGCCCCGACCTCGGACCGGTGGATCCCGTGGCCCCAAAGCCGAGGTCCCGGGCCGTTGGCGTCCCAGTCGGGAGACCGGACTGAAAAACAAAGCCAGGTGGAGCCAAGAAGGTGAGAAGCGCCCCTTCCCTGGGCAACCTCAAAAAGCAACGCTCGATTTGATCGACACCAACATCGCGCTCTTCTTTCGAGCGAGTTTCAGCAAACGGAGCGCACTCAGCCTGTGACGCAGTTTCCAATTCGAAGAGCAACACGACCAGTTCCCGATCCTTGGGTCACATTGAAGAATGTTCACATGGCTAACAGCCATGGCATAGGTGTCGAAGGTGCTTAGCATGTGGCATAGGATAGAAAGCTGTAGGTTGGCTCTACAACTGCTCGTCGCACGCCCTGCAAGAAGATGGATCAAGCCCAATGCATGACGAGGCTCAACAACCACCCTCCCAAACATCAATAAGTCAATAAGGCCCATATGTCTCAACCCAGGAAAGCACTAATCGCTCCTCGAACAGCTCTGGCGAATCCTGTTGCGCTTCATCCACCACTTCGTAGGTATGACCTTGCAAGCATACCACAAGTCACCATGTTTAGTGTTCTTACATCAAATGCAGCCCCATCCAGCATCCATGAGTCTATCCATGAGTCTATCCGAGGTTGAAATATCCGTCGACGGCATCTTCGTCGATTCTTTTTTCGGGTCTCCATAGTCGCCCTTGGATCGCCCTTTCTCTCATCCGCCCAAAGCTGGATCCGCTACGAACGTAGCTCCTGGCATTACTACTAGGAGCAAGAAGCTATTAGTAAGAAAGGGCGTCGCTACTAGCAACAACGACGCTACTAGTAACAAGTGCATCGCTTCTAGTAACAAGTGCCTTACTAGTAGTAACAAGGACGCTACTAGGGGCTCCTGGCATCGCTACTAGTAACAACGACGCTACTAGCCTCCTTTCTCAGCGGATCTGTCCCTTCGGCCGATCGCCTTCCAACACTTCCGTCGCCAGCGTCCACGCCGTCGGGCCGTCTGCCGTCCAAGCCGTGGAGGTCTGGACCTCCAGGAACGTCACCTGGGACCGGGTGACGTGCGGCCACGGCACAGTGAAGCACAGGACATGGGAAAGTCAAGGACTTGCACCGGCTTGAAGGTTGAGAACCACAGGAAGAACTGTGATGCTTGGCCTCTAGGCGCGTCCCCGGCAGCAAGGGTGTGGATGTGGAGGTTGGCAGCAACCTGATTGAAGTTGAAGGGTGTTGCACACTTCTGGCTTGGTAGAGCTTCTCAACTGTTCAATTGCACACTTTCCAGGAGCTTGACATCCGATGTTTGACTGCTTGGCTTCAGGCTGCACATAAGAAGCAGCGCCAGCAGTACCAAGGCCATAACAACAGCCTGCAGGCCTGCGGATCGTTTTCACTTCAAGAATTCAACCAAAATCTGAGACACGCATTCTCCAAATCTCAGCGCAAAGCTCGCCACAGTGTGGCATAGCAATATTCTGCCCGGTTTTCAAAACCTCGCACACGGTAGCATTCAACCAGCCATGAAGTGCAGACCAGCCAACGCCCTCAGTTCGGCACGTTGACATAGCACTGCATGGAGTAGCATGCTGGTAGATCCTGGGCACTGGCAACATGTTTCAGGGAAATGATGCATTGTTTTGCGGCTTAAGCTTAGTGCATCAAGATTGGGCTGGCAATCTGGCCCGTTGCCAGCACCTGGCACAAGGTCCCACAAGATCCAACCAGTGTCAACCACCACACATCTACCACTCATCAACCGCACCCTTTGACCCGCTTTCTCCGACCTTGAGGCCTGCTCTGTGCAGCGCTCGAGGAATCCCAAGCAGTGCGAAACCAAGGGGGGGATCGGACCACCAAGCGGGCTTGCCGCTCCGAAAGGGGCGATCTCAGCAGAGGCACTCGAGAGGCACTCAGAGAGGCACAAAAAATCCTGGGGCCCTGGCAAGAGCCGAACTACGAGGTAAAGCTTCGAGAATCCCCGGGTGTTCAACCTGCACATGATTCTTGCGAACTGGACATGCTTCTCACCGAGGTGGATTTGCATCAGAATAAGGCACAAGCAACGGTTGTTCCATGGAGAGATCCTGGACCTCCGAATTGAGTTTCTACGTTTGAACGCAGCTTAACGCAGGCACCTGCAGGCATCTCGCGGCTAAAGCTTAGCTTGCTACTCGAAGTTCAGTTGCCAGGAGCCATCCCGGTGCCTCCCAAAGGGGATGCTGTGAAACAAGAGACTGCACAAATCAATTAGGACTCGGTAACTCTTTCAAAGAGACCCTCGAATCGAACGTACCGAAAGCTTGCAAGAAACCCAAGAAAGGGTGAGACAAACAGCCACCAAGCCACAGCATCCAGCCATCACGTGCGCGACAAGATTGATATGTCAATTCCCAGGCAAAACTTTCAGCAGGAAGCAGCTGGCTGTATCAATGAATGAAAGCAAGGTATCCTTCAGAAGGGGATGGACGAGAAGCATGCATTCATCCAATGCATTTCAGGGGCTGCTTCACCAAACGCTGTAATAACAGGTGAAACAGCCGAATGCTGTATAGTATCTATGTACCAATGTCAATCATCCAATCACTGACACATCGGTGATATATAATTGCATATACAATCATACAATCATATAGATATCTTTCTGTAAATTTCTCTGCCTTGCCCATGGCCAGAACTGCTGATCGCTCTGCACCCAGGGCCGTAGTTTCTGTGGTTGAGGCCTGTGGAAGCACAAGCTGCGGGCAAAGTGGGTAACCCAGGTGCACACTGCAACACCCAAAAAACGCCAAAGAGGCAAACAACCCAAACCTTGGCCCCTTCGGCTGTCCTTTACATTTTGTGGTCTAAAGTAGTGCATCTGATCACATCAATATTCGGTGAGACCAAATATGTTGAATGCAAAGCATCAAGCAACGTAGATGCCACTTGGCCACATGAAAGTATAGAACTTGGGCCCAAACGATTGCCAGCAAAGTGAATGCTGGCAGCAGCGAGTCCTGCTGTTTTGTTCACTCAGTGGGATTTGGGGGTGGCCAGCTACTCCAATATCAGTGGTGAAGAAATGTTTGCCGAGACATGTCAACCTTCATGAAAACCAGCTCAGCTCGGCCTGATGCAAACGCATGGCTCCGGTGACTGCCCCAGCAGGCACCTGTCAGTCGCAAAAGTACAATCTCATCAGCCACACCCATCTGGCACAAGCATATGCACCTCTCTCAAGACAAAGCTGTATCCTGGCAAGACAAATCATACAACAATTGTGTCAGTTTGCCCCATTGCATCAGTACAACAATCGTGTCAGGGGCGCTCTGGAATGCTCTCCAACCTCGAAGCACAAGTGAAGCCAGAGTTGGAAACACATAGAACCTGCCGTCGAACCTGGTCTCACATGCTTCAAATGCTCCAGGCCTTCGGAAGACAAGGCCATAGCCCTCATGGAATTGGAGCAAGACCAAGGATATGGAAGTGGCGTCATATCTGGCAGCCGAGGTGTCAGGAGCAGTGTGTCTTTCAACGACTGTATTCAGGAGGACAACAAAAAAAGTAACAAGCCAGCCAAGGCAACTCTGAAAAATGCTGCAGCTCGAGGAAAAATCGAAGAATGGGACACCAATGCGACCCAGGTCCATCTCCTTCAAGGCACTGGCGATGCTGGCGATGTCCCCTCCCTAAAGCATCTGGAGTCTGGAGCCTCTTGAAAAATTCTGAAGCTTGCTGGAGGACTTGCCACTCCTAAACGGCCCTTCACATCTTTCGTAGGAATCTGTTGACAGCTGAATTTGCCTTGGCCAAGGGCACGGAGTCAGCATCAACCTTAGACTGGAAACTCTGGCTTTCAATTGCAGACGCTTAAGATTGAAAGGGCCGTTTAGGTTGGAGGCCATCGCTAGTCAGTTGGAGGCCATTCCTATTAGGTTGGAGGCCATTGCTATTAAAGGCAATTCCACTAAGGTAGCTGCATCCGCAGCATTTGTGCTGGCATGATAGGCCAACTGCCCAGCAATTGCCGGCGGAATGATGGTGACCTTACATGTGAAAGAACCAGACGTGCGGTCTTCTTCTTAGTTTACTTTAGTTATTATCAGGGTCCTTTTGCCACAAAATGGTCTATATACATGCAACCTCTAAGAAGTCGGCTGAGCCTCCATATGGAAGTGGCAAAGAAAATGTAAAGGTCAGTGTGACCACCTGGGTGGTGGGCTGGAATGGAAGCAGCACAAGTGCACAAGAGTCACATGAAGCCAGTTGGTGCATAGATGTTCAAGGCCCATTGGCAGGTTGCTTAGGCGATCGCAATGGCAGCTCTAGATTGGGTGGAAGGTGATACCACAAACTCGTGGCCCAATGCCTCAGCAAATACTTGCTTTTCGATGCATGTCTAAAGCTTTTCCTTTACAAGCTGCGTATACTTCTTGGGGGTCGGATGCCCACCAGCAGTTCTTTTCAACCACTCTCCCACTCTCCCATCTCAGGACCGCACAGCGGTGGGCAAGCCCATGGCACCAGCCTGAGGACCAAGGACTGGCCTGGCAGGTCGGCCCCAGGAAAGGCACCTTTTTCCTTTTAAGTAGGCGCCTCCTTAATTGAGTAACGGGATAAGCTCCTAGATGCTTCTAGCTACTTAAGCTACTACACATGGACGCAGGATAGCTCACGTTTCTTCAAGGGACCCTGTCAGGCGGGGGGAGCTTTCTTGAAGAAGCGAGCGCACTAATGATTTGGTTCCTCATATTTTTGGGGGAAACTTACCCAAGTGATGTACTTTGGGTGGAGTTAAAGTCATATTGTGTGACCCATTGGTCTTAGCAGAACCACGTTCCGAGAGCATGGAGTGAGTTGCTTGTTTAGAATGACTAAGGTGGACTGCAGGCTCAGGCCTAGTGGCACCACTCATTTACTGATACCTACTTGCTTCTACCTACCCCGTCTTGGCCTTAAAAAGACCGTCTTCCGCTGTGTATTGGGCTGGGCTCCAGGCCCAGTCGACTCCTGCAGCTCTCCTCTGGAGCTCCGGAACTCCAGGGTCCACAACCCCAGGCCACCTTCCAAGTGCTGCGAAACGGACTAGTCTTCATGGGCTGTGAGAATCAATTCAAGTGACTTTGTCCACACAACAAAGTCAAAAGAAACAATGCCCCACGTGTAGGAAGAGTGAGGTCTACTTCGATTTGGCACGTGAGCATTTGCAGCTACAGGATGCAATGCAGGCCATTCAGCAGGTTGAAACGATCTTCTCCCCTTTATCAAAACACTCATTGCTACCAAGCCGGTATCTCATAGTCTTATGCTCCATCTGCACACTGAGCATACCACTTTGCTCCGGGCTCAAGCATTCAATCGCAAAGCAATAAGAAATGGTTGCCTGGGCGAAGCAGGCCACACTTGGATGCAATGATCCAAACTCTCAGAACATCCAACAACTAAACAGCAGAAGGAGACATACTGCGTAAAACAGAAGAACTCCAGGGACAGGTACAGCATGGAACACACGCCAACACCACGGCAATCCGCCTCCAGTTCAAGTCCCATGACCACTTTCGCCACAGTCTCAGGCCCCACGTCGCAAGTCTCCGGGGCCAAGAAAACCTCAGGATGCCACAGGGGACTTGGGACAGCAATCGTCTTTTCAGGGGTTTTGGCAGCCATCGACAACCTGTGCAAAGGCAACCTTCACAGCACCTCCAACGACATCATGGATAGCACTGGCAGTCGAGAGATTACCCGGGAGTACTAGCACGAGTTTCCGCCCTCCAATCTTTGTCTTCCAATCAAAACTTGGCTCACCTCCATGCCAAGTGCAGACATGGATTGCGAACCACTTGGAGGCTGAAACCATCATTCTGCAGTCGCAGTTCGTTGATGCCCTACCTTCAATAGAATTTTCCAAATATTTTATATATATTATCTTGTTATATTATGTTATATAAATATATATATATAGTACAGTAATATAGTTATATACCCAGAGTGGACAACAACGTTTCGAGTACCACAAATCTATCATTCTTCAGCCCCTGTTTTTATGGGCGGTAGAAGAACCTATTGAAGAAACAATAATCAAAAGCAAACAACAAAAACCACAATGCTTTGAGGCTGCGAACACAGGAAGGCGCACAGCTTCCAGTGAAGACCTGTTCGGTCTGCGAGGCACGTGCGTCTGGCACCCAGTCCTGAGACTTGGAGTGGG